TTGAAGATCCTTTTTTTAATGTGTGCTTGTCCTGCTCTTTTTTACTTACTTTTTTTCTTACTTTTCTTGCTAATTCTTACTTTATTTTACTTGAGATTAGGCGGAAAACAACCTGTGGAGAGTAATTATATTCCAAAAAGGATTATCTTTTTTTAACTCAGAAAAGAAATCGATATAAATTTGTTCCACCTCTGCATTATGTAGATGGTAGCAAAACAGCACACATAAAAATTTAAACAAGGTCATTGGAGTGAAATAAAATTGCCTGAGCTTCACCCACTGCTCTTTGCATGCATCGTGCACCTTCATCCACGCGTTAATAATTCAGAGCCAGGTGACAAAACTCAGGATTTACTGCTTAATGAGTAAAAGCCGGTGCAGAACAGTTTTGACATAACACAGGACGGATGCAGTGTTGGGATTACGTCAAGGCTGAATTAACAAAGGAGCAAATTGGGCAACAGCCCTTAGCTGTCCAATGCTCCAGGCTTACTGACTGTGGAGCAGATTTTATTTATTTATTTATCTATTTTGTGTTAAATTAATGAACCATTTGCATTTATTTGGGAATATTCACAAATGAACCACTATACCAGCTTGTAAAGCCAAGGGCAACGAGGTGAGTCCTTGATCTTAAAACTTTGTCTCGAGCCCAGTTTAAAATCTTTTAACCTGAAGCAAAATTCTGGAAAATAGAACAAAGCCATCAGATTAAGCATCCCCTTTACTCTTTATTCTAACATGTTGCATGTTGTTTAATGAACCTTTTAAATCAAATTACCACAAAATACGTTTAGATTTGGGAAATGTTTCACCAAAGGGGAAAAAAACAGAATACAGGCTGAAAGAATGAAATTTGAAGCCTTGATATTTTCGTCATTCTGGCCCTTCAGTGGTCCCTTGAAACCAAATATGACAATGGATAGATATGCTGGGGATATATAAGACACTCCGTGCTCACACAGTAAGGATTTATCAGTCACATAAGTAGCCACAAATGTAAGCATAGCCTTCTTTAATGTTTAATTTACTCTAAATGGGACCATAATTTACAAAATGAACATAATGCTCTCTTACATAGAACTCAGCCCAGTAAACTCATTAGGAACGTTTTAACTGAGACTATAAATCAAGGTTGCGTTAGGGTCAGTTTCTCATAGACTTCTTTATGTAGTGGGAAATGCTATGTATACATTGTTTTGGTTTAAATTGAAAACCAAATATATTTTTATATATGGAAATGAATTTAAAACATCTTGACTATTGGACTAACATGTGTGCTATCAACAAGTCATTGGCAGGAGGCTCCAAAACCAGTCGGTCAAACTCTAATTTGTAATCAACTCACATCCAAAGTGTCTGTCTCTTCCCTTCTGTCCCTGGCCCAACAGACCACATTAGTACAGTCACACCAAGGACATCCATTATGAGTCACATTATCCTCTGCTTCAGTAATAAATAATTGCCCACATCCTAATTTACTCCCCATGCCTTCCTCTTCACTCACCACCGCAATCGGCTCTAGTGCCACTAGATGGCGACAGCACCAAGCGAAAACCCAGAGTGCACTTGACAACTTCTCTGCCTCCAGACACAAAGCCCGTGACATCATCTGCGAAGGGACAGAGGGTGTGCGAAGGACAAATGTCTTGAAATGCATTACATCATTCGCCACTAATATGATAATATATCTCAAGCAGTGAGTGCGGTGCCAAGCATGAGAGGGGCCATAATCCATACAACGGTCGCTTCGAATGGGAACAAGAGGATAAAATGGAAGTGCTGGTGAGGGAGGAGTGAAGGGGGGTCCACACTGGAGTCGGGAGTGCAATGCTGAAGGTTATTCCAGACATTATTCCTCAATGAAAACGGTAGAGGAGAACAGGCAATAATCATAGTACATACTAAGCAAAGGAGAGCTTTAATGCTCTGTCTGTCTCCTGTCCTTGTCTGCCTTTACCCTGACAGAGCTTTGCTTTTTTTCTCTGCCAACACTTCACTCATTTTTCTTGTCATTAGTGGAACAAATAGTGAAGATGCCGCTGAAGAGAAAAAATGAGACATAGGTGGATGAGAAAGGAGATTTAAAGAAGGACTGATAAGTATAAGACGAGATGTAAGAGTTGAAAAACTGATAAAGACTAGACTTGTGAGACTTAGAGGAAAATTAAGAAGTAATTAAGAGAGATGGCAGATAAGGATAAAGAGGATAAAACAGCAGATATGAAAGGAGAACTGAAGCTATAGCAAAATCTGAAAAAGAGGCAGGGCGATGGCATAGTGGTAGGATGAAAATGAAAGAGGACAGGTGAAAGAGCAGGAGATCAAAGGATGCTAGAGAGATGAGAAAGGGACAAGATGGTTTGAGGAGAGAGAAAGAGGAGAGCAGAGGAGGACTAATGTCAGGTGAAAGGAAAGGTGTTGAGAGAAAATTAGAAGAATATTATCTGTGAGAAGGAGTGACAAGTCGAAGCAAATGGAGAGAAAAACAGACACTGAAAGGAATGGAGGGAGATCTAAACTGCAAGAGGGAGAGAGAAGATTTAAAACGATAATGAGAATCAGGGAGAGGAGATACACAGAATGACAAAATGAAGCAAGGGAAGAGGAAGGGAAGACTCATTTCAGGAGACACCCCGAAATGAGTTTTAAATGAGAGGAGTGACTAAGACTCAGCAGATGTTTGTTTTGGCTTTGTGCACTGTGCTCCACTGTCTCCCTCGCACTCAGGTAAACACTATCACTCTTGCTTGTGTGCTATACATAGACACACTTACTTACTTTTCACTCCAGTCTGCTTGACATGAGAAACTGTCAAAACAACTGTTTGAGTGCTGTATACTGCCAGTGTGAGTATGACCTAAATAAACAACAGCACACAAGGTGCACAAACTACATTTAAAGTATTTTTAGCCCCATCCCGGAGTCTTATTTACAAAATGAACAAAATATAATTTTATAAAATAAGCTCTCTGAAAATTGGGTTTTGGTAGCATAAATAAAAGGAGCTTTTACCAATGTTCTTATGAAACCGTGTCTTCTTTTATTTAATTTTTTTTTAATACTGTGAAAAAATAATTACATAGAATTTGAAAGAAAAACTGAAATAAACAAAAACCATGAAAATAAAAGAACATTTCAATAATATCTTGTATGTTTTGCTTACATGTTTACAGTTTCTTTTCTTGACAAAAGGATAAACAAAGAACCCAACAAGAACATAATACACATGTGAACAATATATAGGGATATTTAAAAAAAACAAAAAAGAGGATTATGGAGAATATATGCTTACTTAAGCACACAGGCTGTCCCTCTTTTGTCGCGGTGTACACCTTCATTTCACTGTACCGATCATTGTCATCATATGCTTTAAGATATCAAGCAGAACATCAGTTAATCTCGTTCGCTCGTGCAGCTGTTTCAGAGAACAGACAAGCTCAGCAGCTGGATGAGGGACAAGTGGACCAGTTCAGCTTCTTCCTCGTTTCCATAGGCTATATGCCACGTCTCCTTCAGTCTGTTTTACCAGCTGTTCAGCTTTTCACTAGGGTTTGACTGATATATTGTTTGAAAGGTCACAAAGAGCACTGTTCATTTTTCCCAAAGTGCCACATATACATTGTTTACATGGAACTTTGTAAGTATTAAGAAGGTCAAAATACACATTTTGAAGCGTTTTAGAATACTTAAAATTTTAGCATCAATCGAAGCGCCTGAAAATTAACCCTTCCTATTCTAACAGGGCACGTTATGTGAGGTTAAATGATGATATTGTTCGCTCAAGGCCACTCAGAATTCTCGGCCATTCAATTCAGTTACAGGAGTTTACACTTTTTAAAATTTAATGTAAGCAACCAAATGTAACAAAGTTGTGCGCCTTTCTGTTTTGACTTAACAATACTTTGAAAGTGTGTTGCAATAATAGGATTTCCTGTGGTAAATCGTTATTTGGCCAGTCAACATCCATTAACAGAGTTTTATTTGTGTTTCACGTTAATTCTGAATGATACTGTGTGAGTGAACACTAGAATAAAATGTGGTCTTTTTTTGTCCAGAAGCAGATGTTGACAATTATTTTTGCTGATGAGCTCCATTCACTGCTCTTCATTAAATATTGCATATGGGAAATGGTTTTATCAACTGTGACTTGCTTTGACAGCTTTGAGTGTTTTCTCAGTCAACTTCTTGGGGTCCCGACGTCATGAGCAGAAGTGAATCTGGCAGCAAAATCAAAGGATGCTGCAGCTTGAAAGTCAGGAAGGCCTGCCTTAGAAAACATACTCTACTCTGAGACCATAACTTATAAAGTGAACATCATGTTGTGTTAGTAAGAGTTGGAATGATTGACAGAGTCGATAAAGTCATCAGCAAAGTGTTAATTGAAGTCATAGATAATGTGTTGGGGCTATTTCTCCATAGACTTCTACACAAACTGACTTCTTCCTTCACCCAAAGTTATTTGCTGTGTACTGTACTGCTCTGTGTCCCTTTGTGTCATTGTCATTTAACACAGAAGGTTTATTTCTCATAGGATTAGCTTTCATTTGAACTTTGCGCATGGACTGAAAATTTTTAATCTGCCATCGGTGATTAAATTATGACACTATTACAGGTTAATGAAACAACTAAAGCACATCACCTTGGAATACCAGTACCATTTTGATCTCAGATGAGGTTGGATATAAACTAGATCACAGAGTATACACAGTATTATGCAGTAGTAAGGTTGCAAAAAATATTTTCAAATATTCATTTAACTGTTAAATATTACATTTTCTTTGTGTAGCCTAGCTGTGGTCAGGAGTGATCTCCATCATGCCAGCAGGTGACAACACAACTGTTTGATCGCTATTATATTTGCTGAAAATATCAGTCAAACCCTAATTTTTAAAGCCCAGTGGTTCCCACATATTTCAGATGATATGAAAACACACTTGGGTTACATGTAGCCAAAACACACGCACTCCCACACACACACACTCACAATCACATATGAGCTTACATAAACACAATAAACACAAATGGCTGTTGCATTTGTTTTTCTGCTCAGTTCATTTTTTGCACAGTCTTCTGGCAATCACTGGAAACTCCAAAAGGTAAAAATGGACACCGAGCCACTTCAGTCACTGTTGGCCGGGCCTGTCACAGCACAGCACAGCATGGAACGGAGCAGTTAGCTGTTGGTCTGGCCTGAATATAGCCTGCGTTGGCCTAGTTGAGGCAGAATTTTGGCTATTTGTGGCCTGGCTGGGCAGTCGTTTTGGCCCCGGATGCACAAAACCCTTCTCACTTTTCACTGGGTTGATTAATTAGAACCCGTCTATCTGATGCATACAACATAAAATAAAGTACTGTCTTTAAAAGTTAAATCACACGCTTTCAACTACAGTGGTGATGAATCACTATAAAGTAATAGAAAAAAAATAAAATACTGATTTTCTTGAAAAGAAACATGATTATGGAATAATTTAACAATGGATGAATGTCATGAGCTCATGAAGCTATATAGTCTCTAAAAAAGACACCCGACATACAAACATTTATGCAAGCAAGATAGATATATCGACCCCATATGTTGTAATCTTGGAAGAAAGCTATGCTGCGATGATTTTTTTTTTTCCATGAAAAGGCAGGTTCATCCTCTAAATTTGGAAGCTTGTAGGTGGCAATTAATATGACATGGGGGAGAGAGTAGAGTACTCCTTCTACATAAGAGCATCAGTACACATTGCAGTGACAGGTACATATGGAAAAGGGGGGAAAAGGACATAAAATAACAACCCAATGGGGTAAACACCTCTTCTCTTCCAAATCACACATCTTTTCGTTGCTGAACCAAATCTAAACACATGGTCTGCATTTTTGGCATCTGTGGTGTCTTTTACATATTCATATGTCCCCACTGTCAACAAACCGTAAACAGTAAAGAGGTAAAAACTAAGTACCTGGATGGCCTGGCCATGTATTTGTTGGCCTCAGTACCTCCTCTGTGTCAAATGTACTCCTTCTACACAAGGTCATAACGACATTGTATGTCAGATGCAAAATACTGCGCAGCTACAACTCTGTAAAAGGGTTGTAAAGAGGTAATAGTATGCAATACCAAGGCTGTGATAACCATATAAATTTAAAAGGCTGCTCCACCTGCCATTCTTTTCTCTGAAAAGGTTTATATAGTGACCTTGGAGCTACAAGGTTCAATCTGATGTTCTAATCAGAAACGGTGTGTCTGTGGTTTCATTTCTCTGTGTTTATTCAAAACAGAGGCAATAAATACATTTTTTACAGCCCCTTAGCACACAATTACCATAATATACCGAGAGGGGTTGATAGGGCGGCTGATACACTCAATGATTACCTCTGGAGGTGCTGAGATTTCAGGCTTCCCTTTGCAGCCTGGGGTCTTATTTTAAAACACCACTATTATCTGTTCTCAGATTTTAACTGCTGTAGAATAAAGGTACAAGTGGGTGAAACTTTATTGCTTCTGCTCTCTCGTAACTGTGTCTGTCCAGTAAAGTATACACAGTACAGTATGTGCTCTTAGGAAAAGGTACAATTCCCAAGAGTTGCTAAAAATGTGAACTGTCTTAATCTTTTGTGAGCAATAAAACTGGAGATCAGCCGATGAACCTTATAAGCTAAAGGTCAGTATATAGTGAAGACTGATGCTGCTGCATCTAATCAACAAACACGTCACCAGAAGGTGAAGTTTTGAAGTTATACGGTGAAGCAATCCAACCAAATCTCAGTAACAAAGTGTGCAAATTGTAACAACATTAGTGTGATAATCATTGCAAATGGCCAAACAGCTATTCAGTGACATTACTTTAGAGGAGCAACGTTTTAAATGCTGATCATAGGGGTTAAAGGTCAATCACATGCATCAAAAGCTGACACAACATAATGGGAAAAATCTCGGACATAACATACCACCAAATTCCTGCTGCAGTGAGGAAACCAGCATACTTACACATACTTCAAAATGTACAAAGTACCATATGAGCTAGATAGAATCCTCTGTACTTTCACTTTGATATGTTTGAACCTTCTCTTTGCTTGCAAAGTTTACAGCACAGCTCAACCTGAGCAGCTGCTGCTTCTCCATCCATTTCAATTGAATGTCGTCAACATTTGAAAAAGGCAGTCCAGTCAGAAGACTGGAAGTCAAAGAAAGAGCTTCACACCAAACAGAGATATCCATTAAAGACATTTGCCTTTGCTGGATATTCATCATTCTGAAGTGAAGCTCTTCATGTTTTTTCTAATTTAAGTCTACAACATCCACTTTAAAAACACCATCCATCTCTTTGTAAAGGAACGTTTCCAATACGATGCCACATACACATTAAAAAGTGAGTGTCACCCAAAATGCTGAACCTTTGGTCCACAACTCCTTATAAAAATACTATAAAATGTTTCTGAATGCCGTTATTTTTTTTTTTTCAATACCGTTCCGTATAAATATGGAAAAAAAATCTATTCTACTGTGCAAGTGATAGAAACACATACGTTTTTGACACTGAGGACAGGGGAGGTATCTTTTTGTACAAATTGCAGAGATTCATTTAATGAAAAAGCACTCCCACCTCGTTTCACAAAAACCATTTATAGCATTGACCTTGAGTGAAATGTATAGAAATGCATCATGATGATAAAAATGAAAGATGGGGTGAAGGAGCATAGAAACGCTTGCTACCGCTCCGGTCATCTTAGATGTGGCATGTACAAAATCTCATCATCCAGAGCACCTCATTGTCCACGCTTTACAAAAAGAAGACACGTCTTAATAGTTCGTATGTGTTGGCACATAAGCACTGGCACTCTGGTCACTCACCTTAAGAAGCTTTGTCCCATTTAAATCAAGGTAGATCTTGTAAGGAATGGCAATTGGGTGAGTTTTAGTGAGGAAAGGGGAGTCAAAAAGTGCCACATATACTATTAGTCCAAGCTGCCCCATTGATGCAATACATAGAAACAAATAGGCTTGTAGAGATCTGTGTGTGTGTGTGTGTGTCTGCACGTGTGTGTTCTGCAATTTGTTAGAGTCACTAAATGTAAAACGTGTGACTAGCAGAGGGGTTTGCTGTAGGTCAATGTACTGCATCACAATGTATAGTTTTGTACAAGGAAACATCTTTAAAATGACCCTAATCTCCATGTGCGGTTATTTACAGAGATGGGGTGGCAGGACCATGTGATGGAAGAAAACGGTCCAAGAGCAAGATGAGAATTGCTGGAAGAGAAAGGATCACTCGGCATCCCCTAAGCTCCTCTTCTTCATCGTGTCTTCAAAGTGCTCTTCTTGTCTTTTTGTCTGTTTTCTCTTGATTGTGGCTCTCGCTGTTGTTTTTATTGGAGCATAAACATTGCAGACAGAAGATCTTCTTAGATGTGTATGAATATCGCTGTGCATGTGTTGCATGTATTGCTGTGAACCGTACAATATGCGATGCTGCTAACTGCTGGGTGTTTTATCAACTCAGAAAATTAGCCGAATACCATGCAGTGGTTAGGATGAAAACAGAAAACAGATTCTTAGGTGTTTATGTATAGATATGAGGGCATTTTTTGAAAATTTCAAAGATTTTTTTTATGTTTCTGTGTAATAAGTACTGCTCCTGTAAAAAGCAAATCCAAAAAGCTTGTATACCACTTTCTCACACATGAGTCTGCATCCGTTGTGTGTGTCTCTGCGAATAGTCAGAAGGTGGAGATGAGTATGAGAAGCGAGTGGAGCTTCCATACTTTCCCAGCCCTGTTTCAGGACTTTGTGGTCCTGGTCCTGGTCCTGGTCCAGGTCCTGGTCCTGGTCCTGGTCCTGGTCCTGGTCCTGGCCCTGGCCCTGGCCCTGGTCCTGGCCCCGGTCCTGGACCTGGCCCTGTCCCTTGTCCCGTTGGGTACATCTCATAGGCTGGCCCTTCCTCTATGGGTGGAGCAAAGCCCATGCGGTAGCTGGGATACTGGGAAGGGTATCCGTAGTTGTCATAAGCCAGTTGGGTGGTGCTGTCCAGCAGGCCACAGTCTCCAGGGTATTCTCCGGGTGACTGAAGAGCTGGATTAGCAGGGGCTTGCTGGCTTTGTGCTGCCCTGGAGAATGTGTTGAATTGGGCATAAGTAGAATGGGACATCCTGGATGGTGGACGGGGGTCGTAGCAGCCAGCTCTTGAGCCCGGCACCGCACTGGGGGGAACTGCACCGCTGGCAGACGCAGAGGGTCCGCTGGAAGTCGCTCCTGCTGGTCCGCTGCTTGGGTTTGGAGAGCGAAACTCTCCCTGGTAGTGGACGACCCGGGACTGGGGGCGCGCCTCGTCATGGGTTGTAGCACGGACATTGTAGTAGCCATTGGTTGGATCCTGTGATCAGAAAAAGAATATAGATTTTTCAGTAAATCCTAATATTTCTCTCTCTTCATATACGATCTGTTCTGTGCTTGTGTTAGCTTAGTTTACACTTTGTTTCTATTACAAAAACTGTCTCTTTTGTATAGAGTGTATAAAAAAGCCAGCTTAGATTTGACTGTGTACGTGACAAATAAAATTTGAATTTGAATTTGAATTTGATTTTTCTTTGAATCCATTGGAGTCGCCCTACCCCCAACCCCCACCCCTCATCTGCTGGCCAATGGTATATAATCCAGGTTTAAGACATGTATGCGTCTTTTAAATATAATCTATTCTTAGTAAGGCATTAATGTTTTTTATAGACTACTAAAGGGTTAGTATGCCAAGCAAGTGGTGAATATTTTTACCACTTGTTTGGGATAGGCCTATGTATTTTATATTACACTGTTGCTACAAAACAAATCAAAAGGAAAAAAGTATAATAATCTAAAAATAAAAGTTAAATTAGAGTTCTACAAATCTTGCATTATGTTGTCTTATATTGCTGAAATTGTAGAGTGTCACAAGATATGCATGGTGATAATGATAGTGTGCTGTTGTTTCATGCATACACACAAAAATGTAATGATATGAGTAATGCAGCACTGTGTATGTGTAATAGAAATTCATTATTAAATACCAAAATATTACCAAAGACAGATATGTACTCTAATTACATTTACATATAAAGGGTTACGTCCAAACATTTAATATTTTTTATTTCTTGACAAAACTGCTGGGAAAGACCAAAACCACCAAGGCCAGGACTATTTACAAAGAGTTGTTTCTACACAGGCTCTTTGCATTTGGTAGTATGGACTAAAATTCAAAGCAGTGTTTTTGACTTTGACTCTTCTTTGAACTTGCACCTCCTCATCTAGGATTGAAATCAATATGAATTCCTCCAAGCAACCACTGTCTGCCATGCCCACAACAAGCCGAATATGCCAAAAAAGGCTCTAACTTACAGTACGGTGTAAAGATTGTATAGAAACAATGAAAAACTCTGCTAACACTGAAACGCTCGATATCAAACCTGAAACTTCAGCATCCTGTGGAGGACTTTGCTGCTTTATCACCCAGTTTAAAAATGCTTAGGAAAGTAATCAAGAAGTAATCAAGTTAAATATGCTACATTACTGGTGAAGAAACTGAAACACTTGCATTGTTTATTTATTGTCTTTTACTTATTTAGTCTAGAAAAGTTAAAACTACGTTATTTGCAGCCGTGTGCCAATCACAGTAGGGTCGAGCTGCCAAAGAATACAGAGTTCTGGCCTTTTCAAGAGATACCCGATCATCAGACTCTATAAGTGAACTCAGATACAGATAGTGGAGGTTTCTATGCCAGGACACTCACACTCAAAAAAAAGGCACTACAGAAAAAGTTGCTTTAACTGTGATGTAAAGCCAGGACCTGAAGAACATGATCACAAATCTCATGCACCACGCCAAATGTCCAGCGATGCTCTAGATAAGTGTTTTTTATTTTATTTTAATCCAGCGCGAGCATGCCAACATATCTTCGCTGACTCATCTCACCTTGAGCTCGTACTCCTCCCGGGTGTCACTCTCGCTTCTGACGTCCTGCTTCAGGTCCATGTCATCTTTGAATGGCTGAGTGGAGGGAGAGAGGGAAACAGAGGGCAGAAACTAAACCATCAAACAACGAAACACACACACGGAAAGAGGGAGGGTGAAAAAGGAAAGGAGGAAGAAGAGAGGGAGGGGAGAGGAAAACAGAGTTTCAGGTTTTGAATCCCAAGAGACCGGAAGACGAGAAACGGTTAGTTGTTGGAGAAAAAGGTGTTTTTGCCCGAGCTTTAAAACCGCGTCAGAGGAGCTGCGTCGATTAGATTCTCCAGGACTTCCGGGGTTGAATTCTCCTCTAAAAGGAACAAAATGTTAAAATGAGTGTGTGTCTGTATATTTGTTTATTATTTCTGTGTTTTTTGAGTGCACAAATATGTGTGCATTGAGGAAAAACGGTGTATTTTTTCCCCCAGTTAGTTTTTCTCCTGTATCTATGCGTGAATGTCTTGTCCTTGTTTCTCCTCATATGTGTGTGTACACATGCTTCATTGTGCTTTATTGATTTTGAGTCGAGTGTGTGCGCGCATATATTTTGACATCTTTTTTATGGATTTGTGTTTTTAGTGTGTCTTTAGTGAGGCCTTGTGCGTGTGTCTTTGTTCCCATTGTGTGATTGTGAGAATGTCTGTGTGTGCCTCTCCTGCCAAGTCGCCTTTAGTGTCAGTGTATCTGTACATTTAAGGCCATTGACCCATACGCCTCCTCTCCACGGCCCCCGGTGACTCAGATGGGAGTCTACTCACAGAGTACATAGCCTTGACCATCCGGGTTGCTGTGGAGACGTTGGCCGCCTCCTCCTCCAGGCTGTGGGTTTCTTTGTTCACCGTTTCTACCTTGATGTCTGGTTTACCGAGGGTGACACCCCTTCGACCTGGAAGAAAAACACAACCGCCGGTTATAATGTGTGGTAATGTTAAGATAAATGATTGACTTCTTTTTCAGTCTAGCTAGAAAAGTAGCAAGAAAAGAAAACTTCAGCATTATTTTTTGTTTTAAATTTGTTCAGCTTGCCTGGTTCATTATTTGCCTTGGCATGCTGACAGCCTTAAAAGAAATGAAAAATATCACAACATGAACTCTAAAGATATGACAGTGAAAGAATATGCTAAAATATCTCCACTCTACTTGGGCAATAATTTCTTTATCAGGGGTTGTTTTGATTAAAATTTATAAGAAAGATAAATATCGTTTCAGCAGATGTCTCTGTCTGCAAATCCAAGGATGATTCATTATTTGCTTTGTTGCCTTTTATATACGAACTTCTCAGTTTTAACCACCTTTGTCCTTTCCTTGTAGGTGTGATATTAGTTTTTTCTTAATTGTTTATGTGGTTATCATTTTGTATTCTGTGTCTATATGTATTGTTTCATAGTTTGTGTGTCTTGGTATACTGTCGTTTTTAATACATCTGCTTGGCTGGACTTTGTATTTTGGGTCGGCTACTGTTTCGTATGGTGGCCCTGAGAGGCCAAACGGACTGCAACTTAAGAAAACACCAGCAATAAGAAAAACGCTGCAAAAGCACACAAAACACAACGGAAATAGGACAAATGACGACGGGAATAGGAAAAAACTGATTTCCAAACTCACAAGGGAAGTGTTTCTGGGGAGACAATAACCTGATGGACCAGTTGCAGGAACCCAAAACGATTCATATAATACTTATGACGGATTTTTAGGCTAATAGTTAGGCTAACACACTTACCTCTCATCTTTTCTTTCCTCACAAAACCGATAGATCGTCCACTTCTTTTAAGTGTCTCCCAGCGCAATTAGCATATTTTGGCTCCTGCAACTGGTCCGTCGGGTTATTGTCTCCCTTGAGCTTTTGGAAATCTGTTTTTTCCTATTTCCGTTTTGTTTTGTGTGCTTTTGCAGTGTTTTTCTTATTGCTGGTGTTTTCTTAAGTTACAGTCCGTTTGGCCTCTCAGGGCCACCATAGTTTCGTGTTTCTGACTTTAGCAGCTTAGTTTTCTAAAAGTAGATGCTGTGGAAGTGTCTGCAATTTTTTATTTTAAAAAAAGCCTTCAGAACAAATAGCATACCATGTGAAAGAATCTAATTTTTTTAGCCAGTTTTTCTCAAAAACAAGCAGCTCCACAGGTGGATTTGAAATAAAAACAAAATGATGACGTCCTTTACCTGTAGACTTTCAGCTTTACTGTAGGAATGACAGTCATTTAGTAAATATTTTTCCATTTATATAGCTCAAAAGTAATTGGACAAACTGTCATAATTTTAAATGTTGGGAAAGTTTTTAATACTTGGATGAGATTTTTTTGCAGTCAATGAATGCCTGAAGTCTCAGCCCTGAGTTATGTTTCCTTCCTGCAGCCGTTTCAGTCTCAGTTGCTGCTCATTTTTGGGTCATTCTGCATTCCTTTTTTACAGTTTTAATAAATGAGAAGCTGCTCTGTTGAGTTGAGGTCAGGTGACTGTCTTGGCCATTCCACAATATCAATTTTTTTTACTTTGAGAAACTCTTTTGCAGCATGCTTTGGCTCAGTATCCATTTGCACAGGCCCGTGCTATAACATTACTATAATATTATTATAACATCCGTGTGCTCTTTCTCTCCTCCATACGTTTCTATTAAACCCTTCAAATTAAAGCTGGAAAACCTAAACCCCACCTTTCCAACACATTTTGTGAATTTAAACTTGGTAAAAGTCAACCTAAAATGTTGATATTAAATATACTTACTGTGTGCAAATGGTTTTATTGAGCTAGGATAAGGCAGTCTTGTCTATAACTGCAAACATGTAAATATTAGGGCAATAAAAGAAGTGTATTTCTATACTGTCTCGTGCAACTTAAAATGCTCAACTCAACATGCTTCAGTCGCAAAGCAGTCAACATTTGTCAGCACAAACAACTCACTTCCACAGCCAGAAACCTTAAAAGTAGAGATTTAAATCTGTGAAGTGTCGCGCTGCATCGTAGACGACAAATGAAAGACTGTTTATCTGGAGCCACAAAGATGTTTGTTTGAGTTTCTATTTCCAAACGGTTTCTTTTCTGTAGAGGTGTTATCAGCTCTGAACCAGAAAAAAATACACTCTTATCCACAGAAAATCCCTCTGGGGACTCTGCCAGTCACCTTCACTGTCTTTCCCACTTCTTTATTTGAGATGGAGCGGCTCAAAATTAAACAACTAAGAGACGCCGCTTGTTTTCAGCTCCCCGTTTAACAGAAGCGTGATTTGTGTTCATAAATACTAATTGGATTGCTGCAGGCTGTAGAAATAACATATAGGAATTCATAATTTAAATACTATTCACCTCTGAATGCTCTTGTTTTCTGCTCTGTTGTTTATGTACTTTATCTAGCATAGAAGCAGCTTATAAATATAAGTCAAAAGAATTAAAAGGGAAATGTACAGTAGGCGTTTTAAGGCAGTTTGCCATATTATATGAATATTCATTAATATCGCTTGCTATATGGCTGGCAAGTGTCCCTTTTTTCCAGGAAAAGCAGAATGACAGTTGTAGAGAGTGGATAAAAGAAAGACTGATAGACACACACACAATATAAGTGTGTACATGCCCCTACACAAACACATTAGAGAGCGACTGTGTGCACTCACTGCCTTTGCGTTGGCGGTACAGGAAGAAGGCGAGTGCCAGTAGAAAAATAAGCAGCAGAATGGAGGAGCCCACCGTGCCACCAGCGATAATTCCCACTGGAACAATATCTGAAACAAACACATGCAGAAAAAGGGTATGGGGTTGAGGGACAGCTGCTGCCTCATTGTTACAGAAACCTGCGCGGATGCAGCGTCGTTTAAGCACAAATCCACTGGTGTTCTAGCTTAATATTGAATCTCTGAGGGCTGCTTCTGTTGATAAGGCGCAGAAGCAGCACCAGTCAGACAAGGAATGAAATGCTTTAAGTGAACATGTGAGGGGAAAATCCAGGCTCCGTCTCTTTTTCTCGCTTTCAAAGATGTTTGGGAGATTTTCTGAAGCCGGCGAAATCTGACAGTTGAAACAATAACAGTTTGACAGAGCATGGAGAAGCCATTTTCTCAATGTAATGTGGCATACCAAGCTCTGGCAATAAAATATGTAACCATCCAGAATGGACTAACAACACTATCTATCTGTTCTCTGGCTGAGGCCACAGCTTAATAATCTTGTTCAAGGGCATTTGAGCTTGTAAGGAAGAGAAGAACATCTTGTTCGGGGACATTAAGTTCCCCGTCTGATTTTTTTTTTCAGTAAACAAATTCAGCACTTAAAAACTCAGCTGTTTGCCTTCATCACAAAACAAACGACAAAGCACACAACCAACCGTCATCAAATTTGGAATTAAGTTTCTTAATTCTTATGATGAAGATTACGTGATATTGCCTTTCTTCAGTTGAGCCACACACATAGATGAGTGAGGAGCATCTAGAAATGAAGAGATATAGAGATTTTTAATATGAAACATCCAGTTGATATTTCATTCTTTATATTAATATTTTGTTGATGTAAATTCCTGTTGCGCATCACAAAAAGCTCACCCAGAAAATTTTTTTCTTCATGGTATTTAAAGCCCAACAAATTAATTTAACACCTTCCTAATAAATTATTTCCAAAGCCAATTTTTTTGAAAAATTGGAAAGCTGGAGTATTTCTCTCAAAGTTTGCCACGTCCGAATGATTTATACAGAAACGCCACACCTGGAACCCAACAATGAGAAAGTCCAGTGTAATGTTAACATCCATGGTTGCTACATATAATCTTTGTCTTCTTCTATGCTTTTGCTTTATGTATGTAAACTTCCACAATGCAGTAGCCAAACAGAAAACATAATTCTAGCATTAAACTAGGAAGGCAAGAGGGGTTTTGTGCTTCTGCCAGTGGAGTAGTTGTGTATCTATGTGTTTGAAAAGACAAGAAGAGCAGCTCATGAAAATTAGATACACATTTATGATATATTTGATAAATATTTTAATTCTGTTTACTAACATATTTACTACTACTTACTGCAATCTGCATTGATCACGCTCAAAATTGATCAAGCTTCATCTGTGCTTTAAAGTTGAACAAGTTATAAAAAAAAACAACCTAAAACCCTAACTTCAACACAGTCTCTCCATAATTCCATTATGCTAATATTTGAATTGATAATAGCAAGTAAAGATGACTGTAGTTTATTTTCTGTAATGTGTACATGTGAGGAGTACTCAGCATGACCACCATGTTCAACATATGTTTCCCTTCCCCCCTTTCATACCCTTCTCCTCCAGTGTGATAATCATGGTGCCAGGTCCGAAGGAGTTCCAGGCAGTGCAGTTGTACGGGGAGTGGAAGTCTGACTCCATGACATTGTTGATGGTCAGGGTGGAGAGAACAGCCCCGCCTTGAGATGGAGGTTTACTCTGCTCCACTGTGTACCTCTCCATTAATGTGCCTTTCTCTTTTTCCCAGACGTTTTCCTTCCACGCCCAAACCTGTAACAAAGATACCAAAGGCCTGACTTCTAAACCTGGACAACCTGACAGAGAAGAGGCCAAGGCTATCACACACAGCTGGTAAAATACATTTTAAGATGTCAGTAAAACATTTTGGAGTTTGCATTTGTTCTGTTTCTTCAAAGCCTCTAAAAAAGCTGCCCAAGTGTACTTCAGCTTTAGATTAAGTTAAGAATAAAGACTTGATATATCTGTAAATATATAAATATATAAATATGTGCCTAACACATCAACACATCTCCTCCAAGCTGTATTAATGTGATGCTGATCTAATCACCAGCATCTGTAATTTGTTTGATTTTTATCTAAACTCCAACATTTTCTGCTGCAATCATCCACTTTAACCTCAGGGATCAATAATGCTGATTTCACTTTTTCACGATAGCCTCACATCGAGGGACGCACACACACACACACACACACACACACACACACACACACACACACACACACACGCACACACGAGCAACAGATGGGCTGTTGTTAAGACGTGTTAAAAGAGACAAAAGCGAGGAAATACATTTTAAGATCGAAAGATTATATTTTCACACCTTGGTAACTGGTACACTATTCCCCAATTAAAATGTGTGCGCAGAGTTTTCTGAGTGGGTGAGAAAACAGTTCTGCTTAAGAAGAAGAGACACACACAGTGCAGCAAGTGTACACGAGAGGTAAAAACTCGAGCAGGTTTTTCTACTTAAAATCTGCTGAGGTGGAATTCCCAGGGTATTAAATATAGAGCATGACAATATCAAATATACATACACCCAAATGTTGGGCTAATGTACCTCTTAACCTGGCTTGAAAAAATTAAAAAGGCGAATGTCTTTAAAGACTCAACCAGGGACGTTTTTTGCAGAACGCTTCATTTTCTTCACTCTCTCTCTTTAATCGCACTTCCTCACAATAATTATGTTGCACCACCTTTGTCTGCATCTCTGTCCCTCTTTCTCCGTACACACACACACTGCCCACACTTTTTCATACACACACACACACACACACACACAGCATCATACTTCATATTTTATGAGTCCCTGTGTCTCTGCATTAAGCCTAGACTATAATGTCATATCACATTATACGCTCTGAGCTCTCTGCCAATGCAGCAGGGGGCTGAAGCTTTCTAAAAGCTCTGATTTCTGTCATGTCGGCGCTGCACAATTGGATAATTGACGCTGAAAGGTACAAAATTTTACTCTCCCTCCATCTCTCTCCTTCTCATTTCGATCTACTTCACCCCCACTCTCTCTGACTCATTCTAGCCTTCAAACTCAAATGGTGTAAGTGGCTTTATTTCAGTTCTTTTTGCTTCTTTTTGTGATATGAGTGCATACTGGTCATCGTATTCTTTTTGAAATTTTATATAAAATGCCAAACCACTTATATTTTAACTTATATAAACCTCACTTTAAATTAAATTTGAGTTTGGTCAGGCATTGCTCTCAGTTACCTTAGGAGAAAAACAGCACACACAGCTGGTATGGCAAATTCAGGCAGATACTCAATTATAGTTTTCTGGAAAGGCAATCTGAGAGAAAGCTTTCTTTAAAAGAAATGATGGTGCTTACTTTGAAAAGGACTTAACTGAGCTTCGGGTGCACAGCTTGATTCTGGATGCTGATTGTCTTTATGTGAGGGTTTGAAATTTATGTGATTATGGTATTTCTAAGTCATACTGATGGTATTTCGTAAGAAAACTGAGTCAGTCTTTAGGAAAAATAGCCTGAAAGTGTTCATTTCACGAATCGCAGTCCTACATCTTTACAAAGTCACACCTGAGCTCAAAGGAAGACCTTTAACCCACACACAGCACTGGAGGAGGTGTGGGTTGTGTAATGCCTTACTCAAGGGTAACTGTATAAAAGCTGATACAAGATTCAAATCTTTCAGCAGCACATTTCTGTAACCTTCCAATCAGGTGATAACCAGCTCTGAGTAATGATACATATGAGGGGGTCACAATATAATATCTGCATATGGATAATGTAGAATCTGTAGGAAAGGAGCACAGCATATGGTGACAGGTGGTGACTGGTTTCTATCTGTAGTCCACTTGAAGTACATGTGTTATTAACCAGTCATGTTTACGTTTAAATAAATGCACCATTTTATTTATATATTTACAATTTTGCTCTGAATTCACAAATAATGAATATCTCGATAGCTGTTATCAGGTTACTAGAGCCATCGGTCGGATATCCTGAAAACACTCACAGGCTCAAACTTTTAGCTGGTTAAGGCTAAGTAGGTAAACTACCATATGAATACTTCAAGGTGAATATATCATAAATAAATTACATTTTTGCCAAAAGAAATCTATACCTACTTTTGTTTTTGTTTTTTCCTTAATTGCAGATCACTTTTTACTCCTGTGTTGAAAAATGAGTCTTACATCATAAGAAGAGGAAGGGATGATCAATACTTTGATTGATCCTGATATAACTAAACTACACCAAAGGTTGTAGACAGTGAAATAAATCTGAAACCAACACTTGGCTGTCTTTGTAATGTGATTGATTCCATCACTGTGAAACTTGTCATGTTTACAGTCGATTCCCAAAATAGAGGTACAAGCATCACTGCATCCCTGAAAGATGGTGGAGGATTCGGAGGAGATGATTCATTTAAAGACACTTCAACATTTCTTTTATAATTTCATTTTTTTTCCCACATATTTGACTTTAAGAGAGCAGTAAACATGTATGTATGGTAGATATTGCAGGATTACACATTGATGTGAGCTTGGTCTTTTATTTGTAACAGCTAAAGACTTCCTGAAAGTTGACATATACACGTCCATCCACTGACTGAATGTATTTTTTCACTGGTGAAATAGTGGTAATTTGAGTGTCCTACAAAACCTGTGTGGTGACATTTAAAGGCTTGTAGAAACAGCTTTGTCAATAATAGAAAAATATGTCGTAGCTATTTTGTGATGGTGTGAGAGTTACAGCCAATTTCATACCTGCCTGTCATACACCAATTTGTTGTAAATTGTATAAACTGCAGGCACGTTTAGCTGTGATTTATTACTTGGATCGTTTAATATGTTTTTGAACATTAAAGTCACAGTGATTTCCACTTTTTAATCACTTTTACTTTTCAATAAAAAGACTTAAAATGTGCAACTCACCGCAAGCCATTCAAACACAAAACCTTTACAAATACTTTAGTAACATGTAACGTGTGGCGTCAATCGAAGCTGAATCTAATCTACTGCACTCCAACATCTCACTGGATCACGCTGCACAGTTTAGTGTGTGTGTGTCCTCTTTCTTTTCAGCCAAACACTACAGCAGCTGTTTTTGATGAGTCACACCTTCCACCACAGAGGAGGAACAGATTGTTCTCCCGTAATCATTGGAGAACAGTCGCTTATGTCGGTCTGTGTGACACAGGCTGGTGAGAGAAAGTAAAAATCATTTTGTTTTCGGGGTGGACGAGGCGTTGCGATCCCGATTCTGTGTGAGGCAGATGCAATCTGAAAAGGTCAAGCACCTCTGCAGAAGATTACAACTTCCAAGGATGGACTTACAATCTTATCAGGTGGAGGGGTGCTGGCGATGTAACATTTGATCTCCCCTCTCTCCCCTCTGACAGCGTACTGAACCGGATCACTGGAGATGATAGGGGGGCCTGAACGGGTGAGATAGCACAAGGCAAAGAGATAGAGAGAGAGAGAGAGGGATACATGCACAGAGAGGAGGATTACTACAATGAAGAAAAACTGTCATTCATAAAAAAAAATCATATTCATTTGTAGAATTAAGAGAGAACCCCAAAAAGCAAATGAGAAATTTTTTTTCTTATATAGTGTCTGCTATTAGAGGACATTGTTTGGCACAAATAATTGCTTTATTAAGGAAAGAAGAGGTGTATTCTCTAGTATTAATACATCCCATAGACAGTTCTTCAACCTCTATACCTCTATATTTCAGACTGCATTGATAATAGTGTTTCCTAACTCTGGCTATGTGCTCGAAGATTGTACACAAAGAGTTTTAAAAAAGGCCAAGAAAAGCTGAAAGATGCATTCAGAGCTTGGTCATGCAGAAAATCTGTGAAATGTCTGTTGCAGGTGGGTAATTTTAATGGTAACGACAACTCTGAGCAAGTTGCAGAAAGATTTTGCTGTTATCTACTGCTTTTCACAAAAACACTCTGAGCAAAGTCACTGAAAACCTGCTCGCTGCAATACTGTCACTCTCTATCACAGTGAATGAAAGACTGTTAACACAGCAACCGCACTGCAGTGCTCTCCTTTTCAGTAATGAAACCGGGCTAATAAAAGTAACACGCATGTAACGGCGCTTGCATAGCCCACCATCACTCTGTATGAGAAATAAAAATAAATCAGAGTGGAAAATAAAGTTAATGTGAGGAAAATATTTAAAGCTGCTTTTAGCACTGACCTCTGTATTGATTCACAAGTTGAAAATACCATCCAGTCATCTTATTTTCAATTGTCATGCATGGATTTAATTACTGTGTTTCTGGACTTGACTGCAGTGGTTTTAATCATCAGTTCGAGCTCTCGCAACTGAATCCAGCTGAGGAAAAATCTCTGCTGATCTGGTATTAAAAAAAATGATCACATTACTCCAGTGCTGGCAAATTTGCGCTGACTGCCTGTTCGATTCTCTATTGATTTTAAAATTTTATTAATTTCTTTAAAGAATTAAACGGCCTTGCTCTGAAGTATATCAAAGACCTATTAACACCATATATGTCTCTAAATTTCTGTAGATTGGAGAAAGAGGCTCTGCTGTTTTGTAAAAGGAGCGTTTGCCATTCGAGCTGCCTGTGGATGATAACTTTTTAGTGTCTTTCATCTCTCTCTGTTCTTTGTTATTTCTCTTTTCTGCCATTTTGTTGCTATTTTGAACTCATTTAGGTTATTTTTATGTAAATATTATATTTGTATTATAAAGCATATTTAAGTTGATTAAATGTATGACACATGCAATCGTCAGATAAAGTGTGATGCTGAACTATGAAACCAAAGCTGGTGTGCTATACAGTAACCGTGCTCTGCAGAAGTATAAATAGCTCCACTAAAACAATGCATCATGCTTTGCAGTGAGTCATGGGAACGAGGTGGATGGTACAAATACTTTACTGTGTTCACACTAAGTGTCTGATTAGTGAATGAGTGCCAAAATAATCACCAGATCATTAATAAAATGAAAAAAGCTTTTAGCTTTTCATTTGCAAGGACATGCCAGTGATTTTCTTTTCTTGTTTGATCAGGAACTTGGCTATTTAGTGAAGATTTAAGGGGCATTTGTGAACTCTCTTTTTATCACTGTGTTCTTGGTGAATCAGTTTTGATTTATTAAGTACCTGCTGGCCGCTCTGTGAGATTTTGAAATATTGGGTTTTGGCCTGTTCATGACTGAAAAATTAGCTGATTAGATCATTTGGGTCAGGCCGGAATAAATCAGGTCGGGTCGACAGGCCCATACAGTACTGTGCTCCATTCACTCAGTCTCTTCAGCTGTCAGAGCGATTCAGATAGATGCATGCTTACATTTAACACTAGATCAAATAAACACATCCTGCAGGTCTGTGTGGTTTCATTATGCCTTGTTTATTAAGAATTAGGGCTGTGCTTTGTGTAGGGAGATCTCTTTACAAATGTTGTGAGTTTTGCTAATATCGACACTTTTCTTGATAATGCAGAGTAAGTGAAGATTAACTGACCGTTGACAGTGAGCGTAACCTCGGTCTCTCCCACGCCAATTCGGGGCACGATGGCCTTGCAGACATACTGGCCTGCATCAGCCTGGCTCACTGACTTCAGATGCAGTTGGTTGTTGTTGCTTAGCACCTGGACGCACACACACAGGTAGGGGAAAAAAACAGGCCGATGAAGAGGAAAAGAACAGAGATAAGCAGACTGGAGAGATGTTAAAAAAGGAGGTTGGAGGGAGGATTATCTATTTTTAATTCATATAGCATGTTGATTTACTTGGAGGGCACCATTAGTTTTTTTTCCCCTCAAGCTCTTTTTAACTTGTTAGCTAAAAATTAAAAATTTAAGATATGAAGATGGCTTTACAACTGAGCAAACATTAACAAAATCTAGGTCCTTAATATAGATGTGCTTATATATTATATGGTTAGGACTACAACTACATTAGCTGTTCTCACTTTATAGTCTATATATTTCAGTAATTAATAAGTATTTATAGAAATAATACTTTAATCCATCATGAATGGGTGATCTTAGATTTAAGTTCAAAGGTAACAATGTCTTTTTACCATGCTGGAACCCTTTTTAGTCCAGGTGAGAGTGAGAGGAGGGTTTCCAGACCACTTGCAGTTCAGAGTGACGTCTGCGTCCACATCCACTGTAACCGGCCTGGGCTCCACTACCAGTATGGGGCCAACTGAAAGAAAATAGCAATCCGATCACCAAATGAGCAACAAAAGGGTTCCTACCAAAGTCAAAGTCAAATTTATTTATATAGCTCCTTTCATACAAAGCAATTCAATGTGCTTTACAAAGACAAAAAGCAAAAAGCATTAGGGCAAAACAAAAATACAATAATTACACTTATATTTTATGTAAAAGGTACAAAAACAAAATAGTTTTTAATCCGAATTTCAAAAAGCTAATAGATTCTGCACACCGAAGACCAGAAAAGCACTTTAAAGCCTATTTACACTGCTTTGGTAGTTTTTGCACAAATTTTAAAATTCCCTTTTTAGTCTTTAAGGTTTACAAGTCTACATGCCCTTGCATCAGACGGCCTCTGAAAATGCTATTGTTTTATGAACTGGGAATGCCCCGCAGAGTCTCCGGTTCTTCTCTTTTATCTGTTCCTCAAAGCAAAACAACAAACATGTAGTGATGCTTTCAGCCATTACACTTCAAGCCACAGCATTACAGGGAGGGCAGAAGGAGCCCATTAGTACTATTATTAATGGCAGTAGTAAAATTAGTAGTAGTAGTAGGAGTATTCACTTTTGCTGTTTTAATAGAATAAAGATTTTTATGTAGATGTATTGAAAATTTTAATTATTACATTTTTTTTGTCAAACTTATTATTTTAGCTATTTTTATGATTTTCAGCAGTCGTCTACACTTTATATTGTATAGAACACATTATATACAATATACAGTACTACAACAATATAAAGTTTATTATTGTGTTTCTCTTTATCATAAAGCATCTTGAGGTGGCTGTTGAGTTGATTTGGTGCTACATAAATAAAATTGAGTTGATTTTCATTTGATTCGTTTAAAAAAAAACATGCGATTACAAAGAAGTTTTATTACAGCAGAATTCAGAATTCTGTTCACTTCACTATCATAAAAGAAGACATTTTTGTGCAACACTTTTCTCTTTTTCTCCTTTTTCACTGCAATCTTTTTATGAATATGTCCTTAACTATGAAAAACACATTGCTTCTTTCACATTTTGATTATTTACCTAATTCATTTAAGTGTCTTGTTAAACTCAGTTTAAACCGAGAGAAAACGCAATAACAGCCTATTGGGAATTTACTCATTGCGCAATACACGAATGGTGTATGGTAACAATATAAATGCAGCATGTTTCTTTAGACAAATAAAGAGCACAAAGCACATTCATGTCATCAGAATCCCACTCAGCTAAGAAGTGTTTGCACTCTACTCACAGTGCACGTCCACAAGGATGCTGACGTTAGTGCTTCCCACGGCATTAAACACCTGACAGGACACGGGCTCGGTGAAGAATGAGTGATCTGCGGTGGTGACAAACACGCTCTCTCTGGCTCCCTCCAGCAGCACGCCACCTTTAGCCCACCTGACAGTGAGACACACAGCACAACACACAGTTCAACATGTTTCTAAGCGTTGTAAATCATTGTTATGTAGACCTCCCAGCTGGATATTTCAAAAGCATAATGGGTTTTTGAGGTTATCTAAATGTTAGATTTTCACCATAAGAGAATGATTCTTTTTGTATTATCAATTAAGCTAACATTTACACGACTTTAATACGAAAACCTGAGGGAATGATTGCAAGAAATTTCTCTTCATTTCTGTTATCCGTGCTGTATCTTGCCAGATACCTGACTCAAAATCAAATAACCATATTGCACATCGTCCATTAGATGACATTTAATGTTCACTCAGTAGGCCTAGTGCCTAAGTACCTGGCAGTGTTCCCACACAGGGACCCTCTGTTGGAGTCTCAAACCTCAAATTACAACCATCGTGTTAAACTCCAGCATTTTGCAGTTTTAGTGCTTCAGTGCTGTCACTTACGATAAAAGTCAGCGTTTAGCTGTACAAATGTTCAGTACTTTTATCAATTCTGTTCTCTAAGCAGAAATTGCTATTCAGGAGCAACAGCAGGGAGAGGGTATGAGCGCACTCACACAGATGAAAGAAAACATATTGGCTTTAAACATCTTATCTGCACTGCAGGACGAGCATCAAAAAGTTTCTCATAGCCTGAAGTGAACAAAAACCTGTAAACACATATTTAAAAAAAACCCATCCAGACCTGTAGCCCATGATAGGAGGGTTGGCAGTGGCCTGGCAGGTAAAGGTAACCCTCTCTCCCTCAAGGACAGAGCGAGGCTCGATGGACAGGGTCACGGTGGGAGGGTCTACACAGGGAGAGATACACGTTTGATATATATATTCTAAATGAACTTAACAATAATGTGAACATAAATTGTATTTATAAAATATGCATATAGCAGATGGCAATCCAGAAGTACCTTCAACCTTCATTCTTTTAAATGTTCAACGAGGGACACCTCCTATGGTTGCAAAAGGAACTCTGGTAGTAAAGAAAACTCTGGGTTCCCTTATTCCGAAACCTCAGTGAACACGTTCTGATGAGTTTTTTGTTCTCATTTGAAAGTTTCGGTCCTTAGTGAATATAAAAGTGTGCTCATTTTATATTTTAGAGTCCCCATTAATATCCAGAAGAACAATAAAGCAGATTATGACTTAGGGTGGGATCTAGCATGTGAAAGACAAGCAGCTACTGAAAGAGCAAGTTTCCCAGATCTGCCCTCTGCTTGAAATTTCTAAAATGCTGATGGAGAAAATGCTTAAAAAGCCAAAGCTTAAAAACACTGGACTCTGCAAATCAGAATTCACAGCGGTGCCTTTATCTTTTATATAGAGATCATGAGTGTGAATAATATAATGGCTGCATACTATATGAACAAAAGTACTGGGCCACCTACATATTACAGCGTTGGAAATCTATGCTGTGAAGCGCACGGTGCACAGTTTTTGTGCTGATGTTGCATGAATGCCAGAGGAGGTTTGGAAACCTGCAGTTATTAAGTCAGCAGAGTTTTGGGAATGTGTCTGAGTTTCTATAGTTTCTAAATGCTTTGGAATAACTCATCTCACAGCTGATTTTGGAATATTTAGGACGAACAGTGGCATCCTATTACAGTGCTACACTTAATCTCAGTGAGCTCTTTAGAACAATCCATTCCTTCACAAATGTTTGTGAAAGGCAGGCTGCATGCCTAGGTGTTTGATTTTATACATCTGTGGATATGGGACTTTGATTCATATAACGTCGTTCAAGGAGAAACTTTGGTTACCTATAGACTTCTGCACTGATCCTATATCTTAAGTAAAACAGTTATTAAAGCTACTTTTTCCTTCTTGACAATAACTCTTATGTTCATCACCATAAAAACTTTCTGGCTCACCGGGTGATAAAGTACAGTAGATTCCTGAACTGCTTCGGGCCTCCAAATATGTGCTAAAACAACACAAATCAAGCTAAATCAATTTGGAAGACATCCAGATTTGAGAATGTATTGAACATTACTGACATGTATATTATTTTTTGCTGGTAATTACTTCAAGTTGGTGAGTGCTGGCACAGCTAATTAAAAATATTTACTGATTTTGCAGTCTGTCTGCAAAAAATACTCTCTGCTTCATCACCGGAGCATCTATGTGTGTTTAAAAGTCTTGCAGACAGGAAGAGTAACATACGGTGAACATTGAGGGTTAGGGTGGTTCGTTTCCCCATAGGTACAGCTGGATTGCTGGCCACACAGGTGAAATTGCTGCCACTGTCTGTGTCGACTGGTGTGATGGGCAGGTAGCTCCTGGTCGTAACCCTTTTCCTGTCTGGCAGCACTTCCTGTTTGACAAAGAAAAAGGCAGAGACAGGGCAAGTATTAGCAGGGGAGACGACAGGATAAGAGGAATTTAGGGAGAAGAGCCCACAGAGTAAGATCAAAGAAAAGATACACAGAGGAGAGGAAGGATGAAAAAAGGAGAAATAAAGGTAGAAAGTCAGGTGGGGGAAGGAAAGAGACACTGGTGAGTTACTAATGGAGCCATGAGAGATGAGAAATAACTGAACATAAATAGAAATCCATGGACAAAAATAGAAAAAAAAATATGAAGTATGTGAAGTTAAGAAGGAAAAGAAAGATGTAGGAGAAAAGAATTGATAGATGAATCAATAATGTAAACAGTCCTTAGTGGCAGTCATAAAAGAGACGCCATAAATCTTCTTCTGGCAAACATGAACATAAAATCCAGCTTTCTTGGAATGAGGAGGTGGCATTTTTTAAAACGCAGCCACAAAATCTGTCAAGAAACTGTGTACAGCTTTCAATGTAGTTTAAATGCGTGGTCAGTAACAGGGTAATATAAGAGCAGCATGTAATATGTATGAGCATGTGTGGGGGGCATAAAGCTGGCTGTGATGAGATGTAAAAACATCTGTGTTTGAGTGCGTGAGTCAGTGTTTGCTGCTGCATCTCTGTGCATATAAAAGCACAAGTGTGCATATGCGAGCGAGTGTCTATGCGTGCGTGCACTTGCAGACCTGCTTTCATGTGTACAGGAGAATATGCGGGATGGCGAGGAATCTGAACATGGAAGAAATGTAACACTGCGACTGTGTGCAAGGTGTCACCAAATACATTTCCTGCCTGTATGTGTGTACAAAAGAAAATCTCTGGCAGTGGGTTAATAAAACATGTCTTGGATCTTTGTGTCTTTTAAGTTGTGTCACGACTGTAAAGCGAGGAATGCAAGAGATGTCTGGAAAGCATGTGCTCTGCTTCCGGGTAGAAGGCATGGCTGACACTCGCAATATAAAGTCTACTGAAGTAAGAGTGTAATTAAACACATGTGTTGAGTAGGTGTGCAAGTGCGACAGTATTTTTTTTTTCTAATACAAAAATTATGAAATACCACAAGTACATCTACTTAACCACTAATTTTAATTAGCTGCCCCTGCAGACTCGCTTTAGTGCATCAACTGAATTGTTAAAACACATAAAAATAGAGTCTGTGATATTTTCTAAGACTCACTATGGATGAATGAAGCAATGCATAGCAGCCCAAAGAGGGAAATGCGATGTGTTCTTAGTTTGTTTGTTCTAGTATTAGTTGTTTTTTTACACATTAACAATTTCATCTGCTCAGCAGCAACATGCTGTGTTAACACTGCACATTTTGATGTCTCTCTACAGCTGACAAAGAGCAGGAAATTTAAGACTGAAAGTTTGTCGTGTCCTCTTTTAGCGAGTTTCATGGTTTAATTTTCATTTCAAAATGTAAGAACTTTGCTCTAACTGTGGCTTTCTCAGTGTGAGGGGAAACAGACTTACTGAAATGTCTTTGATTTAGCAAAGACATTTCAGTAATGTTTCTGCACCTTTATTGCTGCTACTATAGCCAAAAAAGCCCATTGAAAGTTTCTGTCTGTTGATTTGTAGGTTAAAATCTGTAACCATTAATCATTTCTTAATAAATATGGTGAGTGTATTGTTGACTAAATAGTAAGGAGCGCTTTGTGTGAAATACTAATGATCGGCACACTATTTCTTGACTGGAGGACTTCTGGGAAGCCGCCTGGCCCGAGGTGTGCATACTGTATTTACCCGTCATAACAAGCCTCCAGCAAAAAAAAAAGAAGCATAAAAACAAATAAACACACAGAGTGGATTATATTACAAAGATTGCATTGTTCTACAGTTTGTATTACATAGTCTTACAGCGACAAGTGAACTCATGATCATCAAAATCATCATTATGTGAGCTTTACAAACTCCCCTTGGAAAAACACACACACACACACACGTGGCTGCTATTATCTGCATGTGTGCATGGGTGTGTATGAGTCACCGTGGAGTGGTAGGCCCCCTCCGCAGGAAGGCCATTCTTGGTCCACTGGATGTGTGCCGCAGGCTTGGCCCCACGAGTCACACAGGTCAGGTTGTGTGAAGTACCAGCCATCAGCAAGAGCTCAGGGGATCCCTCGACCACTGGGTCCTCAGGGGGGACTGAAGGGGTGATATGCAAATTCATATTTTAAAATGACACATTTATGTAAGTGTGAACACATAAATAAAGAAAAAAACTTTACATATACATATAGTAAACCATAAAAACACATAATACTGTAAAAAAAAACCTTTCATACATATCAAAAGACTAGAGGCATGATTTTCATGTGTTTCTTTTTTAGGTATTAATGTCCTATTTAACACAATTAGCTTCTTGGTTAAGCTAACCGTTTAAAGGAGTTGTTCACCCTCAACTAAATGTACATATTTTCCTCATGCATTTCCTCTCCTGTTTAATCTACTGCTTTTTTATGGTTTGAGTTGCCCAGTTCTGGAGATACTAGCTTCACCCAAGTGCCAAAAACAAGCAAACAAACTAAAAATCAGCAGCGATGTCTCTCTCCAGAAAGCATGACCCAGTTACTCATAAAAAAATCCACAATTTTGTTGTGAGCTGTTTCATAGGAGCTATTTTCTTACCTCTGTCTGCATCCGCCCACCAAAGGAAGGATGCAGCTAGCTAGCTCAGCTAAGGAGGTCGTCTTTAATGTTTACACCCTGTCACACTGTCACTAGAATGAGTTTCTCATCACGAGTAGATGCACGCTACCTTCTGCACAGAGGTATGGTTATTGGATGTAGTTTGGTAGAATAAAATTAGACCTGCATAAAACTTCTAACTGGTTTGTCGCCTTGCTTGGTTATATTTAAGGGAAAGCAACTTCTCTATAGCCAATATCTCTAAAAATGGGCAATTTACACCAAAACTATCTAAATGGACTAACAGCACAGCACAATGTGAAAATACATACACATTGGGTGAAGTATTTGGCAAAGGTTAAGATGTCCCAGGTTATCAATCAGATTGGCAGCACTATGTGATTGTAAGTAACACCTATTTTCTTAATTATTTACTTTATCATTTACCAAACCTTCTAAATCTTGGTAAGCAAAAAATAGAAATGCTGGTTGCCTAACCTGCAAGTTGCATATGCAGCTGCAAAAGTCTTTCTTAGTTTGAATTCTTGTGTGTTTATAAAACCAGCACAGTGCAGGGACATTTTGAAGCTAATAGGTGAGACCTATGCGTTGGTTAATTTGTTTTCATGCAATATTTTGTGTATTAGTGCAAGCTGAACTGAGAATTTTTTTCTGTCAGACATCTTCCTGAAAGGGTTTGGGTAGTGGCAGCTCAGTTGTTTTTAAAGCTACAGACTCTCAAACAGCACATTTGGGATTATAACAAAAGCAAGCTGGCACAGAGGCTTTGTAGAAAGAACAATTTCTGCAATTTCCACTTAAATGTTAAGGATGTGGGAGATTTATATTAACTTATGACAAAGTTGGTTTAATGAAAGCAAAAAGGAAACCCAAAGATTTACTGAGAGGATTCAATGCATAATTACTTAACTAGTTAGAGGAAAATCAGAAAAATGCACCAGGAGAAGACCCCTGTATCAGTAGCAGCAGGGTACTCACTGAGTACATTGAGCTTCGCCCTCCTGGAGCGCAAGGCGGCCTCTGTGGCCTGACACTCATAGAGAGAGTCATCAGAAAGCTCGGCGTTGGAGATCTCCAAGTTGTACTGGCCGATGTCGAGAGAACGCAGGATGCGATACCTGGGCCACGCTGTTGAGCAAACCAAGCAAACTTTCAGTTAGAGAGCATATAATTCACACTGTGACTCATTTACTTCAGTCTGTTTTTATTACAGTCACATACTTTTTCATACATAGTGAGCCAACTTCAAGGAAAGACTGATTGTTCTGAAATGATTGTTGGAGTGCAGGAAGAGACATTAAATGCTTCAATTACAGACATGAGTCATCACAGCAATACTGGATTCACTGAATGATCTGTATCTGCTGTTTCTGAGGAGGAAAGTATATATATTTTTAGAAATACTCTGTGATGGTTTCCTGTTGTGAAATATTTTGTTTCCACGTCACTTAGAAGAAAACAAGCTGGTATTTGTCACATTTACCCTTTCTTGTGAAATTGTATGTTAAAAGTTGTTGTTAAGCTATCCAAAATCTGAAATTACTAAAAAAGTTTAGTCTGTGCTACAAGTAATAAAATAATAAAAAGAAATGTTGCTAATTTAAAGGTGGCATTCATCTGAATTCAGTAATATTCCTAGATAGATAGTAGGCCTTTCTATCTAGTCTCTTATTTTCTGAAAAGACATGTCACTCTTGAATTTTTTAGGTGATGTTTTGTAGACTGTAGACAAATGTCATTCACCTGTTTTGTCTGGGGGTTGCAGTCAAAAGCTTAAACGTTATGACTATAAATTAAAACTCTGTGTGTGTCTGTAACAGAACATGTGTCACAAAAAACACAGTTTCTCAGTAATATTGGTGAATTAACCATTTAAACTGTAGTTCCTTGAGGTACTTGTCATGCCTTTTATATAAAGACCAGAAACGAAAACCCAAAAACCTCTTCTCCATCTTCTCTCATTCAGTTTTTAATATTATTTCTGTCCTTTGTGTAACTGTGGAACAGAGGACTCAGACCTGATTTGTTCACAGGATAAAGCAAATGTAAAAGCTCTTTTGAAATGGATAAATGCTGAACCCCGATTGTTTTACATCCATCACAGGCAGAGAACAGAGAGCAAGGCGACACGTATTTATGGGAAAGTGTCAAAGCTTTTTATCATAATACACAGATAACATGATTTATTGAAGACCTTTTTTCATTAACCACAGCATCTGGGGATCACAATGATATGATATGCCCTCTACACAAACAACACAAGGGGGGTAATGAATGCATGAGGACACACGCATAACGGCAGTATAGTAACACAGTTAGCGATAAACAGCTAAATGGTTTTTGTACTAACACTGATCAAACGTGGCCACATATTCAATAACGCCACATCAATTCCTGCAGAATTACGGACTGAGCTGTTCCAATTACAGCACCCTCTTTTTCTCTCTTTGAACCCTCAACTCGCAGACAAAGACATAATTGAGCGTGACATCCCACTAGGGGGCACTCATTGATCCTCCGTGCCCAATCCTAACATGACATCATGGATTCAGATGGCAAAGGCAGGCAAGCAGGCAGGCAGTTGGGGTGCAAGGAGGAAGAAGGAGGTTGGGTGGAGGGGGACAAAAGTATTAGTGGAGATTACATCATCCACTCCAGCACCTCGCAGCATAGCAACCACAGAGGTGAAAGCACCCTGGGGAGAAGGAGAAGAAGGAGGAGGAGGAGGAGGTTGAGGATGAACAATAAACTGCCACCACTTACGCCTGCAGGTAGTGAGAAGATGCATGTGTGTTTTGGGTATTTACGTAAACATGATCCACACATGTAGGTGGCTTTACACTGATCATATATTAACTGGATTTAAATTTTATTTATCTGACATTTTACAGGCGCAGCCAGGTGATGTCTAGAAGCTGTTTTGGTCTGTGAATGAACGCAGATCTCCTGCGTATGTGTGGGTGAGCTAACTGCAGGTGAGAATTGCACTGCACAATCTGTACGCCTACACTGTCATCCACAGCTGTATGTAATCATACAGGGCGCATAATAACAACCACTTATACGTCATACAGCCAACATCTGCACCTTAATGGATCACCAATGAATTAATAACATTTGTTGGTGCAAGTGTTTGCAACTTGCAGACTTCATGACATGACAAGTTCAGGTTATGAGATGAGCAAAAGGTTGAGTGACCGTATGTCACGGCGGGAAGAATGGCAGCCGACGACTAAGCATAAAAGATGGACAGAAGGCGATGATAGATGGTTGAGAAGCAGGAAAAGAGACAAAGAGGACAACATGTTTATCAAATGTGTTTGTCAGCAGGTCCACGCTGTAAAAGGCTACAAGGACAAAGAGAGCATTACCAACAACAAAATGAGAGCGGGAGGAGGAAGGGACGGTGATGGGACCGACAGAGAGGAGAGTGAAGAAATAAAAAGCAATAGAGGGGATCTGGGAAGCCAGCAAGTGATGGTGAAGCTGTAGTTTTAAAGATGAAGGAGCAGGAAATAAAGACAGTGTGAGGGAGAAAGAGAGAGCGAGAGGAGGCGAGAGAGAAGTGCAGACCTTTACTGAACCTGTGAATTAAATTGAGTTGAACACAAGATTCGCATCACATGTCAGATTATCACTTGTGTGACTGTGTGTATGTGTGTGTTTTGTGTCAGTGTGTGTGGGCGGTGTGTGCGTGTCTGTGTGGGTGGATGGGTATGTGGTGTTTTTTGCGTGCTATACAGCATGTAGCGTTCTTTGTAGATGAATTTACAGTGTTATGAGAAATGTGATGGGTGGTTTAGAGCTGAAAGTCTGTGAGTGCTAATGTGATATTTGTAAGTGCTAATACAGAAGTTTTTCTCTTACATTTTGTGAGAAGATGAAATTGCACATTACAGCCAAAAAAAGGCAACATTTTCATGTATAAATAAAAGCTTTCCTAACTATTTATCAATAAATTGTTTAAAATAGCTTGAATGGTAGAATGAATGAAAGCTGTGTAGTTAGTTTTTCTTCCATCTATCCTTTTTCTGTGGATTATGCAGAGTTGGATCAAGGTGGTTGTAGGCTTAGCAGGTAAATTCTAATGTTTCTCTCCTTAAAAACTTTTTTCAACCCCTACTGAAGGATTCGGATGTGTCCACAGGTCAGATGAGTTGTATCATCTGTCTTGGGTCTACCCTTTGTATCACAGGGTCACATACCAGATGGAAAATCAGCTGTGAAAGCATCAGCTGTGAAAGCATCCAGTCAAAGTTGCTAGAATGGTATTAAAATCCTGGGACCGGCTCAACTCGATCCCTTCGCAAAGGAGAACCAAGTCCTCTCAGAGACCCCTCGGTATTTTCAAATATTTCACATTGCATGTAAGAACCTCAGCAGCCTATATTCTTTCAGTCACTACCCAAAACTTGACCCTAGGTGAGAAGACTGACTGGTTAATAGAAAGCTTCACCTTCCAGTTCAACCCCCTTTCCACCAAAAGTGCTCTGGTACCATTTTTGTGAAATACTGATCCCTTGATACTTCAGTTGACACATGTATAAAACACATGTAAACTGGAAGAACAATTTTTCCATCACACCTCAGTAACTCTTCCAGCATGAAGAGTTAGTCTAATGTGGTATGGCAGGAGTGAAGCAGGATTAATCCTTAGTCCAGAGTTCAACAGCCAATCAGAACCTCCCTTTGAGCACCATATATGAGCTTAGCCATGGGATGCTGAGCAATTACCTTACAAATTATAGCAGACTCCCTTATTCTGGTATCCTGTTGTACAGACGCTGGCCCCGAGCTCCACACGACATGAAAATGCATCTTCGCCTAGACGGTTTAACAAAGTCCGGAGCTTTCAGACTCTTGTGGAGAATTTAAGAGCTCCTTCACTACCTCTGAAGTTTTGCCTCCGCCACAGAGGATGTGTTAGTGGGATTCAAGAGTTTCTGAAAGTGCTCTTTCCACAGCAAAACAATATCCTCAGCGTGGATTACTGCTAAGCATAGCCTGGGCTAAGACTTGCTTTCCTTTTGCTGAGTAGTCTGAAGGTTTGTCAGAACTTCCCTGGATCAGCTGAAAGTCCTTCTCCACAGACTCCTTCACTCGTCCTGCATTTAAATTTTGGATACACAATCACCACAGCTACAGCACTTTAGACCTGCTGGTATGGTCTGGTACATCTTCCAGGCTAACTAGTAGAGATCAGTAATACTACAGACTGCTTAGACCTTATATTTTACACTGCAAGGGTATATTTGCAATACTCCCAAAAGTCTATTCATTTAACATAACATGTGAGTTTGAGAAACTCAAAAATCATAATCACAGAATATTTTTTTTAAACTTATGAAAGTGTCAAAGGTATTTCTTAATTTTTGACACTTGAAAGTTGTCTTACTGCTGAAGCTAACGCATTTCAGTAGGTGAAACTTTACCTTGAAGACACCTTTCACAATTTCATTATGGCTAAGTGAGCAGTTGGTGAGGTTTCGCAGTCAGCGTTTTCCATAAAAACTATCTGTGATCACAGCAATCTGCTATAGCGGCAAAAGCAACAAGGATTTTTGTGCAGCACCGAACACGTGTTTATCAGGTATGTTTTTCCATCGACAGCAAAACAACTTTCCACAACGACCAGCTGATTGGGAATACACGTTTTTCCGAAGCTGCCTGTGTTTACCAAGGGGTCTCTGATTGGTCTGTAGTCTGGGGACTGGGGATTTTAGCGATCAATTTCACCGTAACTGCTAGCAAATGACCAGGGAAAAATCATTTTTCACGAGTAGCTAGTGATTTCAAGCCAGTTACCAATTGGTTTGTAGGGATGTATAACTGCAGCCTTAAACAATAAACAATTGATTTCCAATAACTTGAATTGGGTAAGCAGTTAAGAATATGGGTGGATGGAGAAGAGCTTTCATGGACTGTTAGTTAGAATGGAGGTTTTTTAGAAATCATCAGTTTCTTTTTTCTACATGCTGTTTTTTTTCTATACTTCTCAAAAAAGTAATCATCTTATTTGCATTTTTATTTATGTGTTTGTATATTATGTATAATTGTATAGTTCTCTTTCTTTCCAACACTTTCATTTGTATAAATCAATAATGCACAGCCGATGAAGGTGAAAAGATAAGGTAGTTACCTGATTATTGTGTTATATGGATGTTAAATCTGAATACTTGATATGCTGCGCATTCTTAATTCTATTTCAGTGAGCCTATCAGCTCATTTTCTTCCCTTTTATTTTACCTGAAAGTTATCCTGGACAGAGGTCTATAAGCAGCCTTATTCATAAGCAATGCGAGCATTCAGTAAGCCACAGTGGTCAAAAGCTTGTTTGCATATTTTGAAGAAAATCAAGATGAGGTTAGCTGAGAATGACATTTTTTGCTTTTCTTATTCTTCTCCTGGCCTCTCATTCTTTGATTTTGCATTTCTGAGTTTCGTCTGATTATTCCACGTATACAGAAAAAAAAACTGGGTGTCTGTTGTGGCTTTGACCCTTTGACTCTCACTTTTCACTGCTTGTGATGTTTCCTCATCTTTAAAATGAAGTATATTCTACTGTTGCACTCATAGTAAGTCATTCTGGATGTGCGTGTCGGCTTAAAATGTAAATGTGAATGTGCGTCTGCTTTTGTCAGCAGTGTGAGGGATTTTCTCTAATTCAGCATGATATACAGGACTCCTTTTTGCCCAGATTGTCACTCACACACTCTTAACTCTCTCTCGCATGGTACAGTGTTCATTCCCTTAATGTTAAAAAACCCCTACACTTTTCAACCATAATAGCTTTTGTCAGGGTTCTTACACTCCAAACTGAACCAAAACCGTAGCTGAGTTATTCCCCTTCTTCACTTCACTTTGATCTCTGCAGCTGGGTGAAGCTGCATTTTTTTTACCTCGAAGACCCTCTCCAATGCCGAGTGCCAGGCCGTCCTTGGTCCACTGGACGATGCCGCTGTAGTTGAAGACGACACAGGACAGCACCACCCGTTCTCCCAGCACCACCGACTGGTCCGCGGGCTCTTGGGAGAAACGAACGCACCACACTGCAACAGAAGGACAGAGAGGGGGATCAATTTTTTAGTTCCTTTCACTGTGACCTGGCCATGAGCTGGCATTTTTATTGCACTGTATCGAGCTAGACAGTCCCTCTCTGGTCTTATTGACTTCTGTTTGTCCATATGGAGGTTGCTGGGTAATTTGTTGTGTGCTTTTATTGAATATAGGGTGTTTTTATTGTTTCTTTTATTGTGTGTTTTTACTATGAGTGTATTTTAATATGAACCCGGTTTGAGTGAAATTTCTCTTACAGGAATAAACATGAACTCCATGCATATATAGTGTTCATTATTATTATTATTATTGTCTTTTTAGCTGGTCAAGAGTCCATTGCTTGAATTTTGTATATTTTTCATTCCTCTGTGTCTTTTCTCTCTGTTTTGTCTCTTTGCCTCCTTTTTAAGGTTTTCCCTGGTCTGAACTGAGGCTTCTGTGCAAAAGTGTGTGTGTACATGCATGGATGTGTAAGCGAACACTTGTGTAGCAAGAACATCATTGCAAGCTGTTATACAGCCTGCTCTTTTTCATCACACACAGTACAAAGGATTTTGCTTACACACACACACATTTCCTGCAGCAAAATAAGCCTTTTGGCTATCGCAGTGCCACTAAAATACACAGATAGAAAACTACAAGTGTAGAGCAGGCATACATTAACGCACTCGCTTAAAGAGAGAGTGTCAGGTGAGGAGGCGAGGCACTCACCCGGCGCTATTTTCAGCCGTTTGCATCATCAGGTAAAATTGTTTCATATTCTGGAGAAAGTCTTGCAAGAAGGCACGTTAATTAAGGCAGAGAGAGGGAGACTGCGCTGCCTTAGATGACACATGCACACGAACGTGCACGAGCACACATATACAAACACACTGAAACTTACAGAGACAGAAGCTTTTTCACACATGCAACAACCAATTTATGCAGTTGTGCACAAACGCACTATATCACTAACACAAATGCAGTTGCATACTCAGTCTGTGGAAGTGTGTATATATGTGCACTTGCACACATATACACACTTCCACAGAGTTTGTGTCTGTCTTCCCGTGGGCTATTCTGTTCTTGGATCATGGTTAAAACAATCCTATTAGCTAATTAAGTCAAAACTGGTTAATAAAGCGAGCCCTGGCTCTGAGGGACACATCTCAGTGGGATTCAACCACAAAGGTGCAAACAACAGGGCGATTTACTGATTTGTCAGGAGGATTACATGACTTGTCATGTTATTTGTGTGGAAGGCTTGTCTAATGAAAGCAGGACATTTTAAAACTTCACAAGAAGAGCTTTGATGTTTCGTCAACTTTCCTTTTGAATGCTGATTCAAGAAGACAACTGTGGCAACTGTGAGCTGATAGCTGTGTAATTTATTTTGAAGTTTAAGGGAAAAACTGCCTTAACACACTTCACCGTTCTTAGTGGCTGTTGCTTGGTTGTGCTTTTTGTTGAGATATTATTTCCAGAAGGGACAGTTTTTCCAATTAGTTCAAATGTTTAAACAACCTGTTAGGTTTTGTGTTCACTCTTATTTTGCTTCAAGTTATAGAAACCCCAAGGGAGGTCAGGTTATTAATTTTCATCAGAGTTTAAAATCTCATCCTCAGACTTTTTAATTCTCCTTTAAGCTTTTGGCTCTTATGACATGTTTAAATAGCAAACATTTAACAGCGTGTATCACCTTTTTAGTTTGTTTTGTCTCTTTTTTCCTGTATACTGTATTTCTTCTTAATTAATGTAAAACATTTTGTAATCATAGTTGTAGAGTGCTGCGAGTCATGTACTTCTGTATTCAGTAGTTTCAAATAAAGGCAAACTGTTCATAAAACGCTGGCATTTTTAGGCAGAATGTGGAAAAAAAAAAACTTTAATTAGTTCAGTCATTAGTTAAAATCCAAGCAGCTTTCGACTTTCAGCCCCTAAAATTCTCATTAATCTACTGGGGAAGATACAATGACGCCCTTAGATTTCTGCACAATCAATCAAAATGCAACACACAGAATATGGAAGCTGTGCTGCATTTTCAGTGCATGGTACAACTCGACCACTCTCTTGTTATCACTCACTGTGCACACATGGATCACTCAGAGTTCAACACAAGTTCAGCACATCTTGTAAGGTTGCCAAAAGGGATAGTAAAAAAGAACATACAGGAAAGCAGTTGCTCCAGCACAAATAAAAGAAAAAATATATATAACAGAAGATTAAGAGTTTGTTTAAAAGTTTGTTTACTTTTACTGCATATTATTAGAACGGTGAGATAAAACAATCCTTTACCACACGGGTCAATAAAATAGTTAAATCATATCTACTTTTATATACAGTATGATTTATTACATTAATATAGAATGTTAATGGATTTTATTTCTTCTGATATGTTAAACAACCCTGGCACAGAGGCAAAAATATCCATTCTAATGTTAGTTCTTGCAAGCCATATGTAAATTGCTTAAATTTCTTAAACAACTGCTGCAAGCCACCCAGAGACCCACCTTGACTCCATCTCCTAATTTTCATGTTATAGCTAATCTAATCCATGTTGCTCTTGCCTTTTTCTGTACTTGGGGTCTTATCGGTTCTTTCTCTCTCTGTCTTTTTCCTTTTTCCTTGTATGAAGATGTATTCCACCAAGTAAAAATGAATGAAAAGGAAAACAGCAATCTTCTTTGTCTATAGTTCTCCTGATTGAAACACATTTTTTCACACCTGGTCTTTGAAAAACAGGTGATAATGTTCCCCGGCTGTAAAAATGTGCATTCTTAGGTCTTTAATCTTAAAAAGTGAAAGTCAAACAGAATACCTTAAAATAAAACTACGAACGTGGGAGCTGCTTCTCTTTCTGAGTGGAAAAAGAAGGAGCTGCTGGGTTGTGCCTGCTAACTTGAGTGATTTACATGTGGGTCATGTTATGCATGATTTATGCAAAATTAACAGCTATTATGAGCAAAGGCCCTCATCTTCGTGTATAACTCTGTACAGAACAACACATGTTCTCACGGGACTGGCTGTGATGTGTTTAATCTGTGTGTAACTGTGTAGGAGAGCGAAAGAGAGAAGTAGTGACAGAAAGATATGAAGGAGGAGACAACAAACATTTCTGTTTGTGTGCTGTGAAATGCATGAATGTGTGGGTATGACTGCGTGGGTATACACTGATCAGCCACAACATTAAAACCACCTGTATGATGTTGTGCAGTCTGTTACCAGCACAGTTCTGATCAGTCAGGGCAATAACTTAAGACCTCCAGGACTGTCAGTGTCTATAGCGGAAAGTTAGCAGTGGATCCTGCAGCGTTTGAATTGCAGTGTGCATTTGTGGTTTTTGTTTTGGAGGCTTGGTTAATACCTTTAATATCTGTGCTCCAGAGCAGCATTTGCATTGAGGCTGGGCACAACGTTGTGTTGGAAGAGGCCAGAACCACTGGCCAGTGCAATCACAGGAAGGGTTTTTGCTTGCAACAATGCCAGTGGTAGGTAACACATGTCAGTATTTTATCCAATTGTATTCAAGGACTCTCACAGTTTAATGCCGAACATTAGATTTTAACTTCACCCGTCAGTGGGTTTAAAGTTGTGGCTGCCTGGAGTAGATTTGTGTGCATATTTGGGATTGAATACGTGTGTCTGCAGTTTGTCAGCTTGAAGCAGGGATTCAGATCAGAGAAGTGAGAGCTGTACAGACAGAGAACAGAGATGTAATTAACCCTACGGGATACCCCACCAACCCGCTGCCTCCACCAGCATACACACACCTCTGTCTCTCTCCCCTCTAACATTTTCTCCATTTTCAAACTCCCTGTGTATTTCTTCTCACATGTGGTCAGTTTCTCTACATTTATATTTCCTTTATGTGTTGCTCTTTTTTTTTTAGCCTCTCTACATTTTCCTCAAATCACTTTTTCTTTTTTCTTGTCAGGGTTTCCAAGTTCATCCTGTTTAACTTTGACTAGCCCACCTCTTTTAATATAGTCTGACTCTTTCCGTCCTCGTTTCCTCTCCTTCTTTGTGTATTTTTTTCAATGCAGCAATGCACAATTTTTATAGCGTCTTCAATCCCGCTCTCTTTTGTTCTTTGGACCCAGCTCGTTGTTTCTCCACCTCCCTCCATCTTCTCTCTTTCCTCTCCCGCTTCACTTCACTACCCCTCTAGTACTCCAGTATTTCCCTCATTATCTCTCTGTATCTATGAACATTTTTTCCATGTTTTTTTATATATTTCTCACTTTTCTTCGCCCTCTCTCCTATCCACTGTTTTCTGCTGCAATTGTCTCTTTCTGTCTCAGCCTCCTCCTCACTCTCCTTCTCATCTTTACATCCCTGCATCATTACCCTTGGGGATAATCTTGGGCATATCTTCTCTTCCTCTTTTTTATTCTCATTGCATAATGACCCAGCTTCACAATAAAAGCCACAGTGCCCTTGCATATTATCCGTAATACCTTTAATATCTTTTATTCACTTTGGTCTTTTTTTCCCTTCAGGCTGAGCTTTGTTAAACATCAATACAAGCACTATCTAACTAGCCCTATCAATTTCTACTTGAAGTGTACAAGTCTTTCTGTATTATAAAGAAATTCTACATTTTGCATTAATGCTGAAGTATTAACATTCAGTGGCTGACTTGGAATAGAGGAGCTGCACTCACACAGAAGTGTAGGCTGAAGGGGGAAGCTGAGCAGCAAGGACGATTTTTGCCAGTGAATTTGTACTGTAAAATAATTCATAGACTTTCATAATGAGTAACCTAGGACATCGGTTCATGTGAACATTTATGCAGGTGATTAACCATGTAAGAAATATTTGCCTTCACTTGACACTTGACTTGAGAAGTAGTTGTATGCCATCCATACATACATACATTCATACATCCATAACTGCTAGTTCAGGCTCACAGTGGTATGGAGGCTGTCCCAGGTATCATAGGGGAAAATGGTCTATACCTTGGTGTCTATTGTGACTGCTCCCACAAAGCTGATGTATGTTTCAGAGCATATTT